TAGGGCAAAGCACCCCCTCCGTCCCCTCTGCCTCTCCATGCCCTGTGTGTTTGCCTGCCCACCCCCCCAATCTTTCCAGCCCCTTCCTTTCCCTCCCTCCCTGGTACCCTCTTGGCTGCCCGCCCTACCACTAGCCTAGCCCACCAGCCTTCCTGCTCCTGATCTTCTAAGAACTTCCCTGCCTCCTGCTGATGTCCCCATGGTCCATTGGCAAGGAAGCTGTTCAGCCTTAGCTGTTTCCTGCTCTACTTCCCCCCGCCCAAACCAGCTCTGCCCCAAACTGCCCCATTTTCTTCTATAAGTGGACCAGACCCGAAGTACGTGTCTTTAGACTCAGATAGAGATCACCACAACCATTTGTTCCTTGTACGGAACAGCGCACGCACAGAATATCGTGCACATCCCGAGTTACTATGTCTGCCTTGCTGCTCGCTTAAGCAGTCACGTTTCCCCCACTGTGGGGTATAGAGTCTCTTTGGCCTCCCTTTTTGATTCAGTCCCAAGGAAAGACGTTAGGCTTTTCAGGCTGGGAAGAGCGGGTGGAAAAATGTGTCACAGAAAATAAATCAGCAATATCATCTTGCTGGTTTGCAATTTTTTTTCCTCCATCAAAGTTCTGAGAAATCCATTTTGATGTGGCAGCTTCTACAATAAGTGACAGAAGTCTTAACATCTGATGATGGGGGGGGCAGGGATGCGGTGCAACATCTGGAGTACCACACGTTATCCTTGCCTGCTTAGTGCCACTGGAAAAAAATTAAATGATTTCTCAAGACAAGAGTTTGAAAAATTGGAGGTGGGAACACAGTGCCTTGGGCTCCTAGAGAAAAAGTGGAATGTCGATCAAAGAAATACATCAACAGGAATGTATTTGTTGTTACTTCTCTAGCTTTGTACAATGGCCTGAAATGGAGATTTTTAAAAAGAGAAAAGGGTTCCAATGAAAAATGGAGTTTTAGAAAGAGTAATTCTGAACAGGGCTGGTTGTTCTGTCTGGAGCTGTCAGTCAACAGAGTTCCGCGTGGATCATTAAGATGGTTGTTTATGGGGGCCAATTTCTACATCAAGGGAGAAACTGATGTGGTATTCTTGAAATCACAGTCGAGTTTATTCCTTTATGAGCCCAGTGCTGCTACTTCCATAATCACTTTGCTTCTAGAAATTAGATATTAGTGGATTACTTTATAGGCTTCTTGAATATGCAGAAGGTGCCAGATTCAATACTGAGCATTTTTAAGCAGGGCCACGTTGTGACTTTGGTGGGTCCTAAGTCCCTTTGTCATCATGGCCCCCCCCATCCATAAAAATAGTAATATTAAAAGTGATGTTTCTCATGATTTTCAATATCTTTTTTGTATTTTACAGAGAAATAGAGAATCGCAAACACTATATTATGTGTGTTATTTTGTAATCATAATTAGCTATTGCCAACTGATTCTGTCACAGATCACCAAAGTTACTAAATTTTAGCATTCACGCTAGGCCTATAGGTTACAAATAATATCACTGGATGGTGTTCAAATGTATGATTCTTGCCTGTTTTTTATTAAAAGGCATGAAAATAAATAACTTCTTCATTTTTATTCTTTCCAATTTTACATTTCTGTGGGCCCTAGGCACTGTGATTATTGTGCTTAATGGATGTCAGTTCTGTCTGTAGGTCCAATCGGTTTTCTTTTTTCTTTTTGAAAACTGAATGGTAAGTTCATTGCAGCAAGAATTCTTCCACTAAGATCTTTTGGCAAAAAAGATCTTTCCCGGGGTTCATATTCTTTCCCTCAAGTGTTTGGAAGTTCCAGGGGGATGGGAAATATTCCAAATCTGTGGAAATGCTTCTCCTTCATTTCAGAGGATAGCCATCATTCTATCTACGTTAACATCCTGAGTTGTGTGCAATGGGCCCAGTTTTTTCTTTAGACCTTTTCCTTTTTTTAAATAACATTATTAAATTTTAAACCTGACGCTTAGGACCAACCACTGTCCTGTCTGAACTGCCCGCATTGCTCATAGCTGCATCCAAAATCACCACTGGGGTCACCTGCTCTGAAGTTTGGCTTTCAGTGATGAACATCCAGTGGCATGATGTTCCTTGCCATCGTGCATGTCCCATTGCCATTTCATTGTTGCTTGGAGCCACTGCAAATAACAAAAATCAGGACACAGAACATTAAATGAATGGATTAAAAATGACTAGGCAGAAACAGCTTCCTCCAGCCTGGAGCTCTGTCACTGCAATGCTGTTGCCTTTAAATAAAAGGGAGAGCTTGGATTTTAACAAGACACCTTCTGAGTTCTGCCTGGAATGGAAGATCAAAGAATGTAAGAGTGTAGTTTGGTGTTAATATAGCTACCGTAATGGACTTGGAAATCTGGATGACCACTAGATGGAAACGAGGAGATAAGAGTTTTCTGTATCTCTAGGGTGGTCCAACTTTGGTGGCCCAGATGCGATAGCCTGAAGTGTTCCAGCATCTGTCCTACATGCAGAAAGACCCAGATTCAATACTGGAACCAGAACAACAGCCATCTGGAAGTCAGGAAAATAGCTAGCAGTATTAAAGCAGTGATGTAATATTTCCTTGGACTATGGTAGGCAAGATTTTAGTGCTGGTGGGCACTTTCAGAAAGTTGAGAAAACATTGGGCTCTTGCAAAATAGATTCCGTGGCTTACTCCTTCCCCAATCCTTCTAACCTTCCCCTACTTTTTATTTACTAAGAATGCCCAGATAAGGCCCGAAAGCATTATGCTAAATAAAGATGCCTCTACAGGCTGGTTTCTTCTCTTTCAGAATGCCAGTTTCTCCTTCGTTAAAGTACTAAATGAATTTTTAAAAATCAGGCAGCACTGATTTTAAGCACCAGGGGAGGTGACACGTTGGCATCACGTGATGTACCCCTGTACCTTAATGCAAACTTTAAAATATTCTGGTGGAAGAACCAAAAGGAAACGGTAACTTTAGATCAGGGTTTCTCAACAGCCTTAAGCTGTGTGGACTTCAACTCCCAGAATTCCCCATCCAGCCATGCTGGCTGGGGAATTCTGGGAGTTGATGTCCACACAGCTTAAAGCTGCCAAGGTTGAGAAACACTGCTTTAAATTATAGAAATATTAATTCCATTTCAGGCAAATAATTTCCTTTTGAGCTATCCTGACTTTTCTTTCAGGCAAACATGTGGTGTAATGTGGACTGTTTCTAGTTATGCTCTACAGTTAAACACAGAATTATTTTTTAAGCATTTTCCTGCCCAGCACTTCAAAACCAGCACTTAGTGATCCATAGTCTTTAATGAGGTGTCCAGGCAAGACCTCGGGGGTGCAATCACATCAAGAACACACATCATCTGAAGCTTTATTGGACACGGTAGCCCTTGCTTGCTTATAAAGAAACCTCTTTATAACTGTGCCGTAAATCTTTGCATGGAGCCCCTTCGGAATTGTCCAGAAAAAAGTCATTCTATCCAACCCCAAACCATCCTGTTTCTGAAAAATCAAGCAGTTGATTGAATCATAGGGCTGATTGTTGGAAGAAGAATGACTTTCTAGCAGGCCCCAAACCAGAAACAAAATTAGCCAGAGCCCCAGAATTCTTTTCAAGTGGGAAAATGATGCTTCCAACTTTGGGCTGTGGGTTTTTTCTCTGTTTTTCAAAATCTCCCCCTTCTCCCAGTAGCTTGTTGATGACTACCTGTGTTTGCTAGCTCCCTCTTTTAGATAGGATGACCTGTTGACCCCCTGGATTCCATCTCTTTCCCACCTTCTGCTTTGTCCCACGTTCTGTTTTAACTTTCTTTTCTTTCTTTATTTACGTCCATTGCAGCCAGCTCTCTGTGGCTCACAGATGTGTACAGGGAAGCTCTCTGAGGTGCGTCACGGGCCCAAAATAAGTGGCTTCTTTGAGATGTCTTAGCGCTGCAACCACAGGCTTCACGTGTTGCTTGCCTCCCTCCCCACGTTCCCATCTTGAACCGCCCTCCGCTCCAAATGCCATCAGCCCATATCACCTCTCATTGTTGCAGAAAACCTCTTAGAACAGAAACAGCCGAACCCTAAGCGGAGTCCAGTCATGAACAGAATGTGGCTGGGGGGTGCCAAATGCAGTTTGGGCAAACCGGGAGGGGTGGGTGGCCCCAAGAGGAGAATGCACTTTGAACAACTTGCTGCTGGTGTGTTCATCAGCGCCATAAAAAGAGGAGAAACGGTTGTCGCTTGAATGCAGGAAATTATATTGGGTGTCTTAAAGCATTTCTTAAACCCCCACAAGAATAGCCTCTAGCTTCTAGCTTTGGGGTGCACAGCCTGGGGCTCAAGGCTGTGTGATTTGTGGTATGAAACAAGAAAGATGTGGGGGACCCAGGGTAGAGGATTTCTCAACGCACCAGCTGCGTTACGTTACTTAGCACGACTGTTTTGACGCCAAATTGCAGCCCCTCCTTTCGCATCTAGGATATGCTCCCCAAAGACCAATTAACCCATCAGGAGGTATCTCCTACTCCAATTGGATCTGCTGCTATTGTCTGAGTAAAGCACACTTTTTGGCTACGCACCAGATATCCAGTGTAAGGTTCCTAAAGCCCACCATGTTTGCCTTCAATTTAGACGAGAGGGGGGATGTCTACCCTGAATCACAGGGTGTTAGTTCCGTTTTCCTGCAATGATTGATTTCAGGATGAATTTCATGCACTTTTTTTTTCTTGCCACAATCATAAATTTCTTTGTTTTGTTTTGTTTTTAAATTGGATCCAGGTATTAGCTCTTTGTTTTAAGAGAGGATGAGAGAATGATTGCAGCTGCTGTAAACTGTCTAGCTTTAAACGGCTTACAGGCTTACAGGTAACCTGGGATACCTGGTAAGGAACTGTTTTAGCAGATCATCATCCCAAGCTGGCAGAATCCTCTGATTCCTCACCTGTTCTGTGGGGCTTTTGCAGGGCATTCCTGAACAGTGGGCCAGGCTATTGCAGACTTCCAATATTACCAAACTGGAACAGAAGAAAAACCCTCAAGCTGTTCTGGATGTTCTCAAATTCTACGATTCCAAAGAGACGGTCAACAACCAGAAATATATGAGTTTTACATCAGGAGGTAAGCGAAGGGCATAGAGATCATGCCCTCAAGACTGAGAAGAAAAGGCTGTGGCTGGATTTCCATATTGGTACCAAATCATTGACCATTAGGGACAGGTCGTCATGGGGAAAGTCTATCTATGTGGTCGCTAAGAGTCAACACCGACTTGAGGGCACAGAGCAACCATAGTTTGCAGACTGCCTAGCTGGGTTCACATAATATGCTAAGCTATCCCCCTCCCCACTAAAAATAACAGTTAAGCCTAGTATGTAGTCGCTGTCCAGGTGGAGAACTACCTTTTGGCCAGATAAATAACGCTTTAGTTTCCATGCATATGCGTTATGTTCAAGAACTTCAGAAGAACTACTAGGAAGTGGCCAAACCCTTTAGTTAGGATTTATTTTAACGTCCCCTTCACAAAGCCCTGGATTTAAGTTGGACTGTTAGAGTAAAACATGACTAAAAACTAATCAGAGATTTTGTGGGTTCAGACATGATAATGCTAAACTAAGGAGCTGAGAGTTGTTTGTGCAGTGTTGGAGACCTGCAGCCCTCAGGCTGTATGAGGTGACTATATTTTGCAGACCTCAGCTTGATTTTGGATGTTTTCTGCAAGTGACCCATTCTGCCTTTTAGTAAGAGTGACCTCTTCCATCCCTGAGAAAGTGCTACCAGGGAGAGAGAGAAACAGGAACAAGGTGTCCAGAGGAGACAGAACAGGTAGTCCCACCTACTTTGGGCTCTGATCAAGCCCACTTTTTTTTTAAAGTCTTGTCCACTTTTCAACGAGGCCCTCAGAAGATTATACCTGCACAAATGTGACCCTCATCAGTGTCAACAGTTTGGGTCCCCTTGATGTAGCTTTCAACTGTGTTTTTCCTCCTCCTTTCAATAGCAGTATAAAGTCCAAATGGAACCATAGATTATGGTTGCATCATATTCAGTGTTTGGCTGTCTCTTTTCCTCCAGTGAAATAGCTCTGAATCTCCAGTGGTTGCTTTAAGCCAAGGATAGGTTGTTATTTATTATGATCTTTGTGGGGGCTTGAGGGCTGTATGAGGTATGTGGCTGGTAACACAGCAATGTCACAAGTATGGACGGGGCTGCAGAAGGCACAGCTGGTGACAAGATGGTAGACAAGGAGCATGATCAAATGAAAGAGGGGGGAAGGGATGGAGAGTGGGCAGCAGGTGAACCTCAAGAAGATGGGCTGGTGATGGACAGCTCAGGAATGGGGATGCAGATGGTATGTGGTTGGGAACTATAGACCACACAATTTCCTTGTGTCTAGCAATGTCCTTGGGAGAAGCTCAGATCCAGGATCCGTGGATGACAAGTGGGACCAAAAAAATGTAATCCAGGGGTGGGATGGGGGAGGTAAAAATAGCAACTATGGAGAATAAGGAAGATTGAGTAAGCTCAGGGGATAGACAATACTATATTGGTGGAAAAGAGGAAGGTTGGAAGGGGGAGGGCCAACAGAATGAAATATGGTGAAAGAGGACCTAATTGGCTAGCTGGCCCACTGACCAAAAGCGTTCCATGCTGTATCATTTTATTGCAGAGTCACCCTTCATCATCTAGCTAGGCCCTGTTGGATATCATCTGAAATCCTCTTCCCCCTTCATTTCTAATAATCATTTATGCTCCACCAAGCCATCATAGATTTTCTTTTGCATATTGCAGATAAGAGTGCCCATGGATATATTGCAGCCCATCCTTCGGTAAGTATCTACCACTAGTTGCAAATGAATCTCTGTGTCTGGAATTCACTTTGTTTTCAGGCTTAGTTTGCTGTATACCAGGGTAAAACTGGTCCATTTCATGGAAATGTTCATTTGAATGACAGAATGCGTGTAGGCAGGAAAACCTACTAATACATTTAATGCAGTCCACACCAACCTTCTATTGTAAGTGTAAGTGGTTTTGCTTTTAGGGCTAAATGACTGATCAGGGACATTTTTTCATGCTACGAGACTTAATTTTACACTGTCAGACAAGAAAGACCATATTGTGGCAGCAGATAAGAGAGACATACTGCATAACCTTTGTGAGATAGACAAGTCTACAAAGCCCAAATGCTTCCATAGGTGGGCATTTTAGCGAACCCAGATGCATTTTAAAAATTGGTGGGTGCAGTGAAATATACAGTTCTGCAAACTCTGTGTCTTCCAGCATGAGAGAGGCTGAGAAAGGAACAAGAAGAATTCAAGATATAAACAATCAACAGATGGGAGATGAGTTTGTTAGTGGCAAATGGCCTGAGATGAAGAAATTCAAAACTTTCTAAGAGACTCTGGCTTAATGAACTCACTAATAAAAGGTTCCTACCACAATTTCCAAGATTCTGCAGCTTTCCCTAATTCTTGGGTTAAAAGGTTAAAATTGATGTGGTCCTTGCTTCTGTAAGGGGACCTCCAAATATATTTTTATTTTATTTGTTTATTGTCAATTTTATATATGCCACCCATCTCACTGTACAAGTGACTCTAGGTGGCATTGCAAGCAAAAAACTATAACATCTTAGAGAAAATATACAAGTTAAAACCACAAAAGGTTAACCTTCAAACTAAAAAGTTAAAACTACAAACTAAAAATATGGACTTCAACTCCCAGAATTCCCCAGCCAGCCTGGCCATTGCTGCAAATTCAGAGTCAAAGTGTATACATCTGGAAATGCTCGGGTTAGGAAAGCTTTGAATAAAGAACATCACACGGAGAGCGAAATACAGCCGTACCTCTACATGCGCCTCCCATCTCAGCCAATCTGTACACACTATCAACTTTCAGTGCAGCAAAATCTGATCAATTGGGGTCCCCATTTCTCAGCATTTCCACTGGCTGTAGTTTTACAGAGTTATAAGCTAGGGCTTTAAAGAATAAAGCAAACATGTTAGAAGCTTGGTTTGTACTTTGTGCCACACCATTGTACAGCAGGTAGCTTCAGACAACCTTATGGCTTAGCAGGATGGCTAACCTTGGTCAAGGTTGCTCTTGTAAATCTTTGCCAGAGAAGACTGTCTTGCTGTCCATGCAGGTGGCTCATGATACCCAACAGCCAGCTGGGGCAACCGGTTCATTATACCATCTCTATATAAACTCCACAGCAGGGGTGTGGAATTGGTGGGTGGTGGAGACATCAAGATAAGGGAAGTTAAAAGAGTTAGGGTGAGTTTTTTGCCAGAGCGTTCATATACTAACTGGAGTCTTGCGATTGGGCTGGATCTTCACTGGTATCTGCGTCTCTTCTTTGCAGAGCACAAAAACAGCTTCAGAACCACCACTGGCTCCCCCAGTTTCTGAAGAAGAGGACGAAGAAGATGAAGAGGAAGAGGACGACAATGAACCGCCTCCTGTTATTGCCCCACGGCCAGAGCATACTAAATCAGTAAGGTCTTTTGGTTGTCATCAAAGCAGGACTGATGAATGCTGAAGGAGGCCAGGAAGAAAAAGGCAGCAGATGCAGAATTCTGTTATTTTTTATTTATTTTTTAACAGAATCTCTGCTTCCCCAGGTTTTTAGCCTACGTGGCTGCAGGGGTAGGGCAGGGTGCTGTTCTCGAGGTTCCCTGACTTACCTGAGTTACATTTTTAGTAAATAAATAAATGGAGAGGTGATGCGTTTCAAGTGCCAAATGCCCGTCTTCAGCACAGATTTCATTTTCAATTTTCTTTTGAGACCCAATACAAAAAGAGTGGTGAAAGTGGGCCCCTGTCCATAAAAAAGACAAGGACATATTGGAATGATAGAGAAGATCCCAATGGGGTGATAAAGAGTATTTTCAACTGAGTGCCTTCCATGAAATGAGTAGTTTGTAACTGAAGCCCAACCAGAATTCCTTTATACAAGAAAATAGATTTGAGGCAGCTATACTGTACATGCAGAATTTCCCTCCCCTTCACACGGCCCAGTTCAGAGTACACAATCCAAAATTCATCAAAGAGCTCATAATTGGTGGTGGTGGTGGTGGTGAGAAATTGTTTTGGAAAAGAAACGGTTTGTATCCATTCCCTGAAATTAATCTGTGGATCCAAGACTGATTTAGCAATGCAATCTTTGATTTGACAATGCCAACATTTTGCTGGTGTATGAAAAGATATAGTGGAATTCTTCCTCTGGCATTTGTCATCAATGGAAAGGCATCTTAGAAGTCTTGAAATCCATTCCCTGCTTGCCAAAAGTTTAAATCAAATGTTTGGAAAGAAATGGAGTATTTGTGGAAGGGCAGAAGACCACTGGCTGCCATCTGGGAGATGATTTACTGAGTTTGGGGTCAGTTCCTCCAGGTGTCCACCGAATTCAGCTCTTTGCTTCTTTCAGATTTACACGCGTTCTGTGATCGAACCTGTCGCTTCACCAGCCTCAGTGAAAGAATCAACAGCTCCTCAGCCTGAAAATTCCAACACAAGCACTTTGTATAGAAACACAGATCGGCAACGGAAGAAATCCAAGATGACCGACGAAGAGATCCTAGAGAAATTAAGTGAGCGTTTTCTCCATCGTTGCTGTCTTGTTTGTTGACACAATCACATGGTGGGGATAGGAAGGTGACAGAAAGAAACAAAACCTTGAGAAGAACACCCATGAGCATTTTTAAGGTCTTCTGGTTACAGTGAGAAGTTCCATTGTCATAACACGGTAAACCGCATCAGACTAGGATCTACCAGCTGCATTTCCACATAACATATTAAGCTTGATTAGGGTTACTCTTGGTTAAGTTATTTCTATTTTTGCAAACTCAAGCTCTTTAGGAAGTTCATGGTTCAAACCATTGCATGAATTCAGGAAATGGCTTAATTCACTAGCCAGGTTAAGAATGTTGTGTGAAATGCAGCCGGTGAGTTGCAACTTACAACTTCAGCTTGATGTGCCAGAAGTCTCACTGTGTTAAAAAGCAGGATATAGAGTATTCCATGGTAAGTGTGCACAAACGTTGCATGTGCTTAACAAGGACAGCTCTAAATAGGCTTCCTCTGATATGAGAGTGGCATTTTGTCTAATGTTAGAACTTGGAAATCCTGGAAATAACTTGATGGCTTTATGACAGGCGAAATAATAGGTGTCATCATTCAAAATGTGTATGTGTGTGCATTTTGCAATCAGATGATGCAAATTCATAGAGTCCTGGCGGTCTGAACTGTCAGCCAGGTTTCAAAAGGGCATCTCCGTATTTAGAAAGAGGTTTTTCCTAAATACCAACCCCTGGAAATGAACAGCAAAAGGACTATGATTGAATTCATGCCTTGTTTGTTTGGAAATGGATGTAAAACTAGGCCTCTCCAGACCACTGTGTCCTTCCTTCCTTCCTTCCTTCCTTCCTTCCTTCCTTCCTTCTTCCTTCCTCTCTCCCTCCTCTTCTTTCTCTTTCCCCTCCCTCCCTTCCTTCCGCTGCTCCTTTCCAGCCTAGTCTGAGTGGTGTGCAACATAAATAGAAAATTAAAGCCAATAAGAACATCCCACATGTTATATCAGAAAATGCCAGTTTGTTGCCATATTATGAAACAAAACATTTATGGCCAAGTCGCATTATTAATGAAGCCCAGTTTGATTTGCCTCCCTGCCCTGAATCTCTAAACTCATTTTGCTTGCTTGATTATTGCCGACTTTCATTTCTCTTCCTTTAATAATGTAATAGGCACATGATTACCATGCTCAAAGGGTTTCCTTCCAGCCAACTTTGAATTGGAGATGGAAAACCTACTTGCAATTTCTGTCACGCCGCTGAAGCCTGGATAACCTGCACGTCTCTCTGCCTACTTAGGAAAAGAATTAAGGATGAATTTTTTTTTTTTTAATCTAGGCAACACCTCCTTCCTTTGTTAGGCACACTTTCTCGTATCTTCACAGTTCCCTTCTACTCATCTTTATAAAGATATTATGATGCTCTATTTCTCTTCAAATTCTTGTTTAATTCTCTTCTGAAATCAGTGATGGCTGCTAATGACCTGTAAAAGAAAAGGCCCCCATCTTACATTCCCCCCCCTTTTTATTGTGTTAGTATAAATCTTGATACTTTATGTTATTTCAGTACAATGAGGTTTATCTCATATACTTAAATTCTATTATTGAGATACCGGAGAGTATTGGATATGAATAAGAGGGGGAAAAAGATGGACATTCTATCATTATTAGTTACAGTTTAGGATATCAGGGTTACGAGCTTTATGATAATTTGGCTTTTTCATTCAAAGTTGAGTATCACATTGGAAAGGAAGAGATGAAGGAAAAGCAGACATCAAGGTATTTGTTATATAATAAAGGTTTTGGTCTTCAGCTAAATGATATTGAAATTTTGATATTGGAATATTAATATTCTATGTTTACTGGTATATCTATATCTATCTTTATTTATTTATCACATTTATATACCCGCCCATCTCACACAAAACAACTGTAGAATAAAATAACAAATGGAGAAAAACAATCATTCTAAAAAAATAAAAAGTGATTATTAAAATGCAAACATTATGGACAAGTTTAACCATTTTAAACGTACCAACCCCACAGAGAGAGCAGAATATTAATCATAGTGGAGCCATCTAAGAATGTCTCTGGTTCCCCCAGGGTCTTTGTCTATGTTTGTGTGTGTGTGTGTGTGTGTGTGTGAGAGAGAGAGAGAGAGAAAGAGAGATTTTAAGAGTGTGGGTGTATATCTGTGTGTGTGTGTTTGTACATGTTAATAGAAGGGTTCATTTACTTATCGTATGGCACATTCACATCGCAATTCAGTTGAATAAAAACACAAGAGATAAAATACAAAATATAAAATATAAAATTATAAACATATGGACAACACGGAACAGAATTCCCACGGGCCACGGTAGATGTGCAGGTGCCCTTTATAAGTGGGGCAAAATAAGATTGCCCAATTGTGATTGTGGGGCTGAAAAACAAACTATCCAACATATAGTGACAGAGAGCTAAAACAGAGCCTATAATGGAGATTTCGCTGATTTCCTGGCTGTGACAAGTGAAGTAATAGAAGGAAAAAAAAATAGAGGAACCAAACAAGTTTAACCAATCTTACCTTGATGAATTGCGTATCGTACCGAAGCCACTGCTGCACACAGGGTGCGCATCGGGCATGGAATCAACTAGCATGCACAAGGTTGATAAAATAACCCTTCTTACTTGCCAGTGTTTTAGCCACCACGGGGAAGACAGAAAGTGCTTTGCAGAAGACCTGATAGGTTTGAATGTGGGAAAGGGTGCCAAGGTTCCAACTCAGCATCAGCTGTTTTGTCTGGAATCGGTTCTTTGTCTCCTTTGTTCTCTGGTTGGGGGCTAGCATTTAAACTGGTTTGTGTTGGGGTCTTAATCTTCTTATGTCTTAATCATGTTGAGTGGCCTTGGGTAGAAAAGCAATCCGAATTGAGTAGTAGTAGTAATAATAGTAGTAGTAGTAGTAGTAGTAGTAGTAGTAGTAGTAGTTATTATTATTTTTGGATGGCCCTTCCTCCTGAAGGAACCAGGTTTACAGAAGAACAGTGAAAAGAGTTTTAAACCATCCACAGCCCTTAAAAAAACAATAATACAGAAATCAAAGCAAGGTCCACTTTTTTAAAAAAAATAAAAGCATTTCGAGAGATGGTAGCTGTTATCCTTCAAACACTGATTGTATAGATCAGTGTTTCTCAGTCTTGGCAACTTTAAGATGCGTGGACTTCAACTCCCAGAATTCTCCAGCCAGGATGCTGGCT